GGTTAAGAAACTCTAGAGTAGATAAACTATTTCTAAATCTTCTTTCAACAAAACTGAATGAGGTGTTTCTCTCTTTTAAGCACACAAAATCATTTCTCTTTTACTCAAAATCACTCAGCTGTGGGTCTGAGTCTCTAGAACATTCCTTCCAAGCACTGGCTCTGTGTTTAGGCTACTTTGATCTTACGGCACTTTCCTATCTGTGTATGCTTCTGCCGTGGTGCTGGTGGAAAAGGAGAAAGCATGACGTACCAGAGCTTCCATCTCTGAATATGTAGAGATAGGTGAAGTCATCACCACAGGTCAGTTTTAGAACCTTCTCATCAACATGAAAAGAAAATCTGTACCTATTATCTAGTTCCCCTCAACTCCCCACCCTCTCCCTAGGTAGACACCAATATTCTGTTTCTACACAGATATCCATGCTGAACATTACACTCATCGTGGAATCATAAAATACATGTTCCTTTGTCATGGGCTTCTTTCACTTAGCATGACTTCAATGTCCATACACGCTGTATCTATTTCTTAGATGTCATGAATAATGGTGTTCCCAACATTCATAGTTAGGTTTCATGTGGCTGTATTTTTATTTCTTTGGGGTTATACACCTAAGAGAGGAGTTGCTGGGTCATGTGATAACTAGAGTTAGCCTTCTGAGAAACTTCCACCTTTAGGAACAAGAAGATGTCTCAGAGGAAAAAGCACTTTCTACCAAGCCTGGCATTTTGAGTTCCATTGCCAGGACCCACAAAGTAAGTTACAAATTGTCCTCTGATCTCCACATGCAAGACAGAGGCAGGCAGATCTCTGTAAGTTCGAGGCCAGCCTGTTCTACAGAGTGAGTTCCAGGATAAACTACACAGAGAAGCCCTGTCTTGAAAAACAAACAAACAAACAAAAAACTCCACATTGCACATTCCCACCACCATGATATTTCACCTCGATATGAAACAGCAGAGCCAAGAGCTGCAATCCTTGGAACTGTGGATTAAAATGAATTATTCTCTCAGTTATTTTGGCCATAGCTATGCAAAAACAACAAACGCAGTCCCAATGTCCCCACACCCTCACTGACCCCTGTTACTATGTCTTTTGACTCCAGCCATGGCAGTGGCTATCTAACAGGACCCCATTACAGTTTCGATTTGCATTTTTCTGAAGATTACAGATAGCAGGCATCTTTTCTTGTGTTTGTTGCTCATTCCTATTGTCAACACAGATTCACCAGAAAAAAATTCTAGATGAAAAGCAAGGCTGAGTTTCAAAAACAAGCAGTTTCCAAGTCAGGGAAAATCAGACTTTGGTACAAAATTCAAGCATATTCCAAGGAACAAAGAAAAGGTTAGCTTATGCTGATACTAGTAGCCACGTTCTCTGTCCAGTCTGCTTATGCAAATTAGGCTGCAAACCCCACAGCTGACTGGCCAGATCCAGGAAACCTTTCTGGTAGCTGTTTATTTTGGCTGTTGAAACAAGAACATGCCCAGGCAAGACACTCAAAGTTGAGCTTGAATTTCACCAAGTATTTGTGGTCCTTCAATCAGTAAATGGCCACCGAACTCCTTTCTGAATTCAGACCAGGGAACCACTGGGGGCTCTTCTTGGAGTTCTAGCTTTTTCTTAAAGTTCACTGTGTATCTGCTTTCCACGAATGTCTATTCAGTTCTTCATCCATTTTCAAGTTGGGTGATTTGTCTTTTCATGTTAATGAGTTGTAAGAGTTCATGTGTATATTCTAGACACAAACCCCACATCAAATACATGATTTGGATAGTTCCTGCCACTCCATAAGTTTTTTGTTGGTATTATTTGAAATAAAAAAGTTTATGGTTAGGCTGTTTGGTTGGTTGGTTTGGTTGATTTTTTTCCCCTTTTTTTGAGATAGGGTCTCCTACAGCCCAGACTGGCCTCGAACTTTTTTTTTTTTTTTTTGGTTTTCCGAGACAGGGTTTCTCTGTATTGTTTTGGAGGCTGTCGGTCCAGTCCGGCCTCGAACTCACAGAGATCCGCCTGCCTCTGCCTCCCGAGTGCTGCCACCACCGCCCGGCATGGCCTCGAACTTAATATACAGCCAAAGCTGGCCTTGAACTCCAATCCTCCTACCTCCATCTTCTTCCAGACTCAGGGAATAAGGCATGGGCCACTACACCCACGAAAGTCTTAAATTTGATGACATCTGCTTTATGATGTCTTTGTTTCTCGTGGTTTGGCATCAAAGACATGGGTGCTTTCTCCCAGGTTTTCACCATCCAAGCCTTAGCCTGAGGCCTCTGATTCATTGTGCACTCCTTTTCATATTCAGTGTGAAGAAAGTCTTTTGTATATGGATACAGTCCAGTTGCTCTGCTGCTCTCTGTTTGAGGAGTTATTTTTCACACCCTTATTACAAAGATAGTTGACCATAAAGGTCAATGTGAAATGAGTTTTATAAAACTGCTTTTATTTCTACGTTTTTTAAAAAGGAGTACATCATTCATCATATTTCAAGTTACTATAACTCTTTTGAATAAATAAAAAATATTCAAAATAGAAACCATTTCTTGTGCTGGGTATTGGTGGCGCATGCCTTTAATCCCAGCACTTGGGAGGCGGAGGCAGGCAGATCTCTGTGAGTTCGAGGCCAGCCTGGTCTACAGAGCGAGTTCCAGGACAGCCTCCAAAACAATACAGAGAAACCCTGTCTCGAAAAAACAAAAATAAATAAATACATAAGTAAAAATAAATCATTTCTTGTCTCTTCGAAACCATTAGAAAATTCTACTTACGTCTAGAAGCTGTCTTTTCACCAAGACAGACAGATACCATGGAAGACAATAAACTGCAGAACTGAGTATGTGCATAAGGCTTCCCTAGTTTGTATGTGTTTGTATTTGCGTGTGCATGTACGGTCCTTAACCTTGACTTCTACCACTGAGCTACACTCCCAAGCCCCAGCATTAAATCTTACAGAGATTGATCACTTTCACATAGCATGACTTCAATGTTCATACACACTGTATCTACTTCTTAGATGTCATGAATGCAGTTTTTTTAAATTATTTAATTTTGTGAATGTCGGCACATAAGTGTAGGTACCTGAGGAGACCAAGAGTCATTCGATCCCTCTGCGAATGGAGTTAAAGGTGGTTGTGAGCTATCTGATATGGACCTCAGCAAGAGCAGTAGACTCCATGGAGCACTGAGTCATCTCTCCAGACCCTAGAATGTGCCTCTTTACTAATAGATTTCTTTCCAGTACTCTAGCAGGTAAGTGGGAAAAACAAAGCATAGGACTCTAATCTCACAAGTGGAGTACAAGGGTTGTCTCTTCAAATAAGATAAGGCTCAGCATGGATGTTGGTTTATTTGTTAAGTTTGCTTGTTTTTGCATGGCTGGGAGTTGATCCCAGGGTATCTGGAATGCCAGGGAAGCACTCTACCACTGGACTGAAGCACCAAGGTCCTCTGCCTGGATGGGACCTTGTTCTGGATTGAGATGTTTTTTTGTAAACTGATTGATTTCCATTCTAGACTTATTTTTAATTCCCATTCATATTTTTAGTGCTCATTGCATTTAATTTCTCTTTATACTTATGAATAATAGAGTTAATGGTGTTTTGGCATTGACGCCTCCGATATTTTCTGTTGTTTTGAGTGCTGTAACATCCCCCTTCAAATTTGTGCAAGCATTGGACTTGGCAGTGATGTAAGCCGATTAATTCATGTGTCAGTTGTTATCAAGGTCCAGTTATTAACGTCTATCTTAGAGTAAGTTATTAACCCTCCGATTGAAAAAAAGCAGCCCTTTATCAACTTCTTCCACTTCCCAGATGAGATAGGGCTACTACTGACCATAAGTAATCACCTATGTACTTTAACCACTGAACGCCGGGGCCAATGGATGCCTAGGTTGTTCAAGGACCTGGTTTGAAACCCATTCGAGCTGATGGGGGTGGAGAGAAAGTGCCTTTGAGTCTTGTTACCTTTGCAATAGTAACACATTTTGCTCACATTTTGTAAAATCTTTATTTTTTTCCTGTTCAAGATACTCCAACTTCTAAACTCAAAAAACCCTATTCCTAAAGCAAGTATCCTCTCAAGTAAAAAAAAAAATGCTGACCTCCCAGAAGCCTCCTCTGCTTGCAACCTTATCAACCACTGTTCTAGGAAGAGCCAAGCTGCAACACTCTCCACCTTGGGGGACTATCTCCCAACATGGGCCCAATTCCCAAGCTGTATGAGTCGAGAAGCTGGGCCTGTGTCTTCACAAGTACCCTGAATAATGATGTCACTGCACTCAGGGAAGGATCACAGGGTGTTGCTACCATTCAAATTCTAGCATACACCCTAAACTGTTTAAAACAAATGGATTCGGGTCCTGGCCAAAAAGGAGTGGAGCTCAGTCATGGCCCAAAAGCATGAGCCTATTTCAACACCTCGAATTTTCTCAGGGCAGGGTGAATAAGGCGGTTCTAGTGTAATTATCTTTGTGTAACTGAAAATTAAGTGACTGATGACTACATGATTTAAATACCTTGCTTTTGAAGGACATGCTACCAGCAAATAAGCGATTAGTTTTTCTAGTAGGTTAGAATTGGAATGGGCACATGGAAAGTGAGCATTGCTCCAGTAGGTGTCCTTCCCCGGGGATCATCAAGAGAGTTGGTCTTTTTGTTCAGCTCTTCACACAACCTGCTCTTATAAGACCTGTCATAATATAGGCCTTGCCCTGAAGAGTAGAAATGCTAATAAAGAGAGCACCTGTGGTACTTGTCACTGTGTGTGTGTGTATCTATATATATCTGCGGGGGGGGGGGGTTGTGAGTCTATGTGTGTGTGTGTGTGAGTGTGTGTGGTATGTGTGTATGTGAGTATGGAGTGTATGTCTATATATGTATGTGTATCTGTGGTGTGGGTGTGAGTCTATGCAACTGTGTGTGTGTGTGTGTGTGTGTGTGAGAGAGAGAGAGAGAGAGAGAGAGAGAGAGAGAGAGAGAGAGAGAGTATGGAGTGTGTGTGTCCCCAAATTTTTACATGCATGTAAATCATCTCAAGAGGTCATGATAAAACACAGGCTCCGATTTGATAGGGTCTGGGGTCTGAGATCCTACAACACTATCCAGCTCCCTGGAGTGCTGCTGTTGCCAGGGGGGGCCACAGCTAGATAAAGAAGCATGAACAGACCAGAGGGCAGTAAACCAGGACCTGCAAACCCACTGGAGCTCAGGTTCCGGGTCTAAATGGACTTTTCCTAACACCCACTCTAATTGTGTACTCCCGTGCTTCAATAATTGCTCTTCAGCCATCATGCAATTTTTCTTTGGGCTTCTGATTCTCGGTGTTCATGTCTGCTATTTCAGTCACTGTTGTCTTTTGGAAAGCTAGACATAAATGCCTTAGGTTGGCAAGCTTTTGCTCTCAGTCTTTTACTTTGATCCATGGAAGTGTTGGCTGATGATAATGTGAAAGCGGGCTGGGATCATAAGCTAGACTTGAGTCAGCAGTAAAGCACTTTGATAAAATAAGCAGGTGAGAACTCAAGAGGATGCCCAAAAGGAAAGGACAGCTAATGATATCAGACTAGGGGAGTCCCCATGTGACAGGGCAAGATGGTGCAGAGGTTTCCTCCATCTTGTTTCTTGTTGAGGCCATTTTGGGTTTGACTAGAATTTCATCATCTTGGTAAGAATCTCCATGGAAAGTTAGTTGATTCTATTCTAGGAACCCAAGGTCGGGATGGACCAGATAACTTACCTTAGCTTTCTTAAACGGCTTGCTTGTGCAGAACCCTCTCTCCCAGATGACTGCTTATCTAGGCTTCCGTTAAGCTTCTTGCCTTTGCAAAACCTCCCCCTGAAGCTGCCAATCGAGATTTCAAGATGTGATTTTTGCCTTCCCTCAAACACTGGCCAGCAGGAATAGAGACTTTCAGTTGGCTACACCCTGTGTTTGTGTGGTTATCCCGGTGGGCTCCCAGTCACACTTAATGAATCCTTTGTTCAAATGCCCACAAGCGGAAAACACTGCAGGGCAGGCAGAGAAAAACAAAAGCATCTTCAGGTACCTGTGAAGAGAACACAAACGATGTTTTGAGAATCACTATCGAGTAGCCACAGAAACCAGCTGATCTGGTGGTGTGAAAGGCTGTACGGCACATCAGGTGGATTTGGACTAGTTTTCTCCTGAAAGTGATGAACCTACATGGCAGAACTTCAGGTGCTAGAGCCCTTTCCTAGAGATTATTAGAATCACCCACCACCTACTAGCTAGCTACCCGTCAGCTTGTGGGCTGCACCCGTACCACAGCTGCCACTGAACACCAGTAACCATGTGCTCACCAAACCACAGGAAGGGCTGGGAGAGCAGACGTCAGATGCTGTCCTTAAGCTTCCTGTTCAGACCACATGCCCAGAGGTCCAGGAGCTGTCTACAGAGCCACTACTGACATCACTGTCACTTATCACCAATGGTGCTGCGAGGAGTGGAGGCCCGGAAAACCCCATCTGACACAGCAAACACAGACGAAAGCCCAGTACCTATAGAATTCTCTAGGCAGGGTGGCCTTAGAATGACACTGTTCTTGTCAAGACTGTAAATCACTTTGCACTAAGGCAGAACATCCGCACTTACAAATGTTCAAGGCAGACAGGCGGTGGTGGCGCACGCCTGTAATCCCAGCACTTGGGAGGCACAGGCAGGTGGATCTCTGTGAGTTCAAGGCCAGCCTGGTCTACAAAGCGAGTTCCAGGACAGCCAGAGCTGTCACACAGAGAAACAAAACAAACAAACAAAAAACCCAAATGCTCAAATCATAGTCAAGAAATTGGTGAATTTTCATAAAATGAGCACACCCCTTTGTATCCAGCACCCAGCAAAGGAGATGAACGCTACCAGAATACAGAGGCCACTGCACGCTCCTAAGTATTATCCCTCTCCAACCACTGTAGGGGCTGGGGTAGCTCAGTGGTAGAACTAAGGTCCTGGATTCAATCTCTACTACCTAGCAACAAGGGATCTAATCAATGAATGCAAAGGTGAACTGAATAAATAGTACTCAAAAGACGTGCTAATGGTCAGTAAATATATACACAAAAAGTTCAACGTCCTTAGTGACCAGGGAACTGGAAATCCAAGCTACACTGAGATCCCATTTCACCCCAGTCAGAATGGCTGTCATCCAGAAAACAAACAATGAATGCTGGAAAGGATATAGGAGGTGATTGATCCCTTATACACTGATGATGGGAAAGCATGTTAGTCCAGCCATTATGGAGGATTCCAAAACAAAATAGAGACTCTGTTATATTATCTGCTGACAAATTCCTTTAGATACCTAAAGGAATCCGTGTCTGAATGTCACAGAAATATTTGCACACACACAGTTATCACAACACTATTTCACAACAGCCGTGTTGTAAAATCAGCCTGGATGTCCATCAACAGATGAATGGCCTAAGAAAAATGTGATCAGCCGGACATGGTGACACACGCCTTTATTCCCAGTGCTTAGGAGGCAGAGGCAAGCAATCTCTGTGAGTTCTAGGCTAGCCTGGTCTATAAATTGAGTTCCAGGACAGCTAGGCTGTTACACAGAGAAACACAAAAGAAAGAGAGAGAGAGAGAGAGAGAGAGAGAGAGAGAGAGAGAGAGAGAGAGAGAAGAAGAAGAAGAAGAAGAAGAAGAAGAAGAAGAAGAAGAAGAAGAAGAAGAAGAGGAAGAAGAAGAAGAAGAAGAAGAAGGAAGGGAGAAAGAAAGAGAAGGAAGGAGAAAATTGGCATTTCTGCACTCAATGGGGTATTATTCAGGAAAATAAGGTTGGAAAATTGGTAGAACTTGAATCATCATGTTACATGAAATAAGCCAGACTCAGAAAGACAAATGCTATGCTTCTCTCATATGCAGAATCTATGAAAGTAGAATGGGACTACGTGAAGGAAAGAAAAGAAAGTCATGTGAAGGTAGGGGAGAGAAGATAATAGAGAGGATGAAAATGATCAAAGTACATTACATACGTGTGTGCAAGCGTGGTGAAGCCCAGCATCTTGTACAATTAACACATACATTACATACGTGTGTGCAAGCGTGGTGAAGCCCAGCATCTTGTACAATTAACATATACATTACATACATGTGTGCAAGCGTGGTGAAGCCCAGCATCTTGTACAATTAACATATACATTACATACGTGTGTGCAAGCGTGGTGAAGCCCAGCATCTTGTACAATTAACATATACTGACAAGCATGACAAGCAACTGGAACCTTGCATTCTCACACCATAGACTGATCTTGCCTATTTTCGACAACCCATAAATAAAATGAGACGCTAGAGAACACAGCCTTGCCTGACTGACTTTTCTTACTCAGCATCCTGTTGGCAAAATGCATCCACGTTGCCTTGGAATGATAGTAAGAGTCTTCCATGTGGGAGGTTGATTTTGTGGGATTTAGCTTAGTGGAAGAACTTATTTTCAGCACGAGTGGTGGTGAATGCCTGTAACCCCAACACTCAAGAGTTAGAGGCAGAAGGGCTACCAGTTCAAGGTCATTCTTGGCTACTTAGCAAGTTGGAGGCCAGTCTGAGGTACATGCAAACCTATTTCAAAAAGAAAGAGAAAGAAGGATGGGGGAGGGAGGGAAGGAGGGAGAGAGGGATGGAAGGAGGGAGAGATATTACTTTTATCACTACCCCCTAGCATGTTCAGTTGACAGATTTCCTGCTTTCTTGCTTTGGAACTGCTATGAGAGACATTAAGAGCCACTTGAACACCAGAGATGTGGCATCCAAGATTCTGCTAGTGACTGACTGACTGGCAAGCAGCGTGGCTGGCTAGGCCGCTAGTGACTGACTGACTGACTGACTGGCAAGCAGTGTGGCTGGCTACTAGTGACTGACTGACTGGCAAGCAGTGTGGCTGGCCACTAGTGACTGACTGACTGACTGACTGGCAAGCAGTGTGGCTGGCCACTAGTGACTGACTGACTGGCAAGCAGTGCGGCGTACTTCCCATCCCAGAAGCAGCAGAGTGGGACGCTGAGACGTTATCAAGCTGTTCAGAATGCCAAGCAATTTTAAGCGTATGTATTACTCAGCTTTGGAATTTCCCATTAAGAGTATTTGAACTGGGACCAGCAAGAAGGCTCAGTGGGTAGAGGTGCTTGCTGCCAAGCCTGATGACATGAGTTCAATCCCCAGATCCCACAGGGTTGAGGACAGAACTGACCCATGAAACACAAATACATAACTAAATATAATTTAAAATCACATTATGGAATTGGTTCCTATCTTTCTCATCTCTAATAAGAAGGGTGTTTTTCTCTTTTTAGATTTATTTATTTACTTATTTATTTATTTACAGCTAGTGCTCTTAACCTAAATCATCCCTCCAGCCCAAAGAAGGGTATTTTTTCATATGCTGATTGGTCACTGGATGCCCTCTTCTACCATTTAACTTTTTTGACTGATTGTCCATCAGTGTGATGAGTTTTTCTTGTTCTCTGATTGTTCTTGTTCTCATTTTACCTGTGTTCACCTTAAGCAATCTTAGCCAACTTCAGTGACAGAGGGGCATTCTCTTGTTTTCTCACTGAACTCTTCGCCATTGCACTGGTCGCATTTCAATTTACAATTCATCTGGTGTTGATCTTCATGTCTAGTGAAAAGCAAGAGTATGCCATTGAGTTTTCCAGTTGCTGCAAACAACATCTATCATAGTGGCATAGTGATCACAGCGGTGCACTAGGGTAACTTAGCCCCAGGTTCCATCCTGGGCACCGGAGAAAGAAACAAAAAACTCCTAGGCCAACCTCCAGCCCCTTGACCTCCTTTTCAAATACATACTTGTCTTCCACGGGACGGTTCTCCACATTGGGCAACACTCCCCCCAGCAGTTACTCCACATTGGGCAACACTCCCCCCAGCAGTTACCTCTTCTTCACTCAGCCTCTAGGAATGTCATCCTTGTCACCCAGCACAGCCTGGAGTCCTAGCAAGAAGAGAACTGCTCTCAAATAAATTGAAAGAAGACCAGGGTAGTGGTAGCACACACCTTTAATTCCAGCACTTGGGAGGCAGAGGCAGGCGGGTCTCTCTGAGTTTGATGCCAGCCTGGTCTACAGAGTGAGTTCCAGGACAGATTCCGAAGATAAACAGAGAAACCCTGTCTTAAAAACAACAAAGAGAGAGGGGGGGAGAGAGGGAGAGGGAGGGAGAGGGGGGGAGAGAGGGAGAGAGAGGGAAAGAGAGGGGGGAGAGAGGGAGAGGGAGGGAGAGGGGGAGAGAGGGAGAGAGAGGGAGAGAGAGGGGGAGAGAGGGAGAGGGAGGGAGAGGGGGAGAGAGGGAGAGAGAGGGAGAGAGGGGGGGAGAGAGGGAGAGAGAGAGAGGGAGAGAGAGAGAGAAAGAAAGAAAGAAAGAAAGAACGAAAGAAAGAAAGAAAGAAAGAAAGAAAGAAAGAAAGAAAGAAAGAAAGAAAGAAAGAAAGAAAGAAAGATGCTTGGGTATTATGGCTGTTATAGAGGGTTGCCTACTCTGTGCAAGGTCTTACCTTTAGGATCATACGGGAAGAAGGGAGGAGAGGGGAGGGGAGCAGGGGAGGGGGAGTGAAGGGGGATAAAAGAGGAGAGAAGTCTTAGAGCTTAACCAAAGAAAGTACAAGACTAGAGGAAAAGTTGGACTTCACACAGTACCAAGGAAGAGAGCGTTATCATAGTTGGTCCTTAATGATTTACAGTGATAGAACAAAGACAGGCGGACAAGGTGAGCTCTGGGACACCTTTATAAGAGGGACTCTCTATCATTTCTGAGTTGTCCCCAGGGTCTGACCATCTGACCATCTGTATAGCTCCTAAGATCTTGCCAATTCTGTTTTCCCAATACTCTACTAATTACTCCCCATGCATTGTCTTACTTAAACCATACAATAACCCTATATTACGGTTGTTCTCACTGCCTACATTTTACAGATGGGAGCCTGGAGGTTAGGTAACACACCCAAAGGCCTGTGTCTCGTAAGCGGTAGAGCTCTTGCTGTGGATTAACTTCTTGACTCTTGTGTGAATGTTCACTAATAATCCATCAGTACACTCCAGCTCTGCCTTGCAGATCTTAAACCAGTTATTACCATCAAAGAATTCATCTCTGTCAGAGCCCATTGCACCAAGGAATGCCAGTCATCTCGGTAAATCCCCTTATTCATTACATGAAACAACGATTTCCTGGCACTGGCTATGTGCCCAGCAGCAGTTCTGATGATCAGGGTAGAGATCAAAAGAAAAAAGAGTGTAAATTGTGTCCACGTTATCAATCTTAGCCCAGTGAAGTTAAGGTCCTGGGCTTGCTTGACCTTTGGGACTCAGACAGACCAAAAACTTGCTTTGTTTTTGGAGTTCCTGACTTCTGTGTTACCCCCAGAAAAAGTATGTGTCCTCTTGTGCTTGTTTGAAAGTTTCCACACTCAGAAGGAGCCAGGTTCATCATCACTAGGTTCAGCTGGCCTTAAGACTCAGTTTTCCTCCTGCATGCTAGGCTTCCCTGAAGAAGGAATCTCAGAGAACTTGAAAATGCTCTTTCAGAGTAAATACAGTTGTTTTTGTTTTTAATTAATTCATGTGTATGTGTGTTTTGTCTGCACACACGTGCTGGGTGTCCTCAGGGAACAGAAGAGGGTATCGGATCCCTGGGACCAGAGTTACAAATGGTTGGGAACCAAACCTGGGTCCTCAGGGAGGGTGGGCAGTGCTCTTAACCACTGAGCATGTAGTTCTAATAGGCCTTAGGGACAAGCCTGGCAGCTAACCACTGATGTAAGTTTTAATAGAAAATCTGGCCACGTCTCCAAACAGCAGTTTGGAACACAATCTGATACAGCCCTTGATAAGAACGACGGATCACTCCTTGCATTACTTAGATGACTTTAACCCCTGCCAGCATGGACTTCCGGCATCTTCCCCATTCTTTACTCTTCCAGACCAAAGTAGGTACTTCTGCCCTGACACCAGTTCTAAACAGGAACAGTGTGTGTGTGCCTTTAGTCCCACTGGGACAGACGGCACTCATATGTGGTTTCCAGCAAACTTGGTAGCATTGCTTTCCTGAGTTCTGGTTATCCTTTTTTGAAGAATCTGGAATCTGCTGGAGATGAATCTGTAATTGGCTGAAATCCAACCATGGGAGCCAGTGCTAAGGGAACAGTCCATCTGAGGTGTCTGAGACTGGGAGTGTAGGCCACCATGTATGCCCCAGAGGGTGAATGAGAGATTCTCTCTGTAGCAGGTAGGTCTGGGCAGAGAGTTCACACTCCTCCTGGAGAGCATAAAATCCCTAACTTGAGAGACTGCTTGGCTTCTCTCTCCTTCAGCAGTTAGTGCCTGGGATGTGGCACCCTGGACAGAAGAGAGCAAACCCTGAACTTGGACCTCAGCAGTTTTTAAACTCTGCCTACTACTGTTTTGTGGTCTGTAAAATGGGGTCACATTGCCTATTCAACACGCTGTAAGGACACGTGACACGAGACACACAGTGCCTTGTAGACTTCAGAGCTGCAGAGTTCTACAGGGTTCGGAAAGTTTGTTTTTACATTTCTTTAGCTTTTCTTTTCTTTCTTTTCTTTTCTTTTCTTTTTTTTTTTTTGTTGTTGTTGTTTTTGTTTTTTGAGACAGGGCTTCTCTGTGGCTTTGGAGGCTGCCCTGGAACTCTCTCTGTAGACTAGGTTGGTCTTGAACTCACAGAGATTCGCCTGCCTCTGTATCCCGAGTACTGGGACTAAAGGCGTGGGCAACCAACACGGACCAGTCATGGCGACCACATTACGTTTTAAATCCATTGCTATAACGCAGTGGTTGTAGTGTGCTCAGTAGCAATTAAAAAGAGGAGGATGGGGCGACTTGAATCCTGTGTGCTCCATCCTGCTCCTAGGCTTGTGACAGCTAGGAGATCTTCAAGTCATACAAGAAATGTACCCAGGCCTTAGCAATCCATGTGAGGCTTACTGCCTAAATAGATGTCCACCCAAGTTCATTTCAAAAAACCAGCCACCGCGGGCTGGGCATGTATCTCTGCTGTAGAGGGCAAGGTCCGGGCGTCTATTCTTTTGTTTGCCATCCGGGGATCTATCCCAGAGCCTTGTGCACTATAGGTATCAGTCTGCCATTGAGCAGCGATTCCCAGTCCTCCCTGTGGAGATTTTACTCACTTCAGTGAACTTACTCAAATCGGCTCTTAAGACAAAGACTTGGCACGGCTTTGTCTTAAGAGACAAGGTGAATTCCAGATACCACTTTCCAATTCTACTTCAGTAGAACCTTTGGGCTGAATTCTACTTGTGAAAAGAGAGAGAGCGAGAAACGAAGGGATGTGTATGGAGTCAGGAAGGGCGGAGGGAGGAAGGCGGATGGTGACTCACTGCAGCCTTTGAGAGGAGGATTAGGCTTCCACCCCCACAGCCTGATGCTGTCAACTCCCACTTTGGAAAATAAAGCAGCCCTTGACACGAAAGCAGTTTACAGTGGCTTAAACAAGAAAAGGAGCTGGATTTATTGTTAGCGTCCAGATTGCAGTTTAAATGTAAGAACACGCCTGGCTATCACGACTCTGATCACAACGGCTAAGAAAACCAATCAGCTTAGGTGGCCATCAGTGGGTGCACAGATAAAGGAAACAGTGGCATATGTGTGCTGGGGAATAGTACTCTGCCCTAAAGGGGAACAGAGTCCCCTCGTCACTTACAGCAAAATGAACAGCACCGGGAGACGTTGTGTTAAGTAAAATAAACTAGACAAAGAAAGCCAAGCACCACATGCTCTGTGTTATACGTGGGTGCTAAGAAGTTGATTGGGGTACAGATCAGTGTTTGCTAGAGTTTGGGAAGGGAGGAGGTTGGATTTGATTAATGCACTCAGTGTTCATACACTGAAACATCATCACACCACACCTCATTAACAAGCGTACTTCATAAATGTAACTAAAATAAGGGAAAAAATGAAAAACAATGTGCAAGAATAGTAAGTAAGTGCTCAAAGGCCTTGAAGATGCACCCACTGGGGAGGCTAACTCAGCAAGAGTGTGCTTTCTAGCCTGTGTGTGAGGCCAGTGCTCAGTCCCTAGGGTTCAGGGTGGGGACAAGAACACCTATTACCTCATCTTTATTGCTCTGTGCTTCGGAAGCAATTACAGCAGTAATTAGGGAGCTCATTCAAGCTATGTTCATCACACAGAAAGAATAAAGCAACCTGAATCCACCAGTATGAGTTTAATGAACACATCCTTACGGAGATATACTCTTTGTATTTAGAGTAAGAGTTCAAATATTTGTGCTGGGATAAGATGTCTCAGATGTCTGAAAGACAAGCATTGGCACCAATATGAACTCACTTGGTTTTATTCTGCTAAAGTAAATAAATGTGTGAATTTGTATGTGTGCACTTCCAAAAGCCCCTGAAGAATTAGACATGATGGTGTGTGTCTGGAAGCCCAGCCCTCAGGAGACAGGAGCAGAAGGATCCTGAGTTTACAGTCTGGGCTCTGTACACAGTGAGTTCCAGGATAGTGAGATCCAGGATTGAAAGGCCCTATCTCAAACACAGAGAGGCAAATCAAAAACTCCTAAAAAGCCCTTGAAAGGCTACCAGTTCAAAGTGATGGACTGAGTTCATGCTTTTAGTGCCCCATTTTCTAGTCCCTGTGACATGCACAGCTGGTCAGAGTCACAAGGGGACTGTCACTTCGCCTGGTTCTGGCTCTGGGTCTGGCCTGCATCTCTGAAGTGGGGAGGATACTGGGGACGGAGAATTTTCTTCCTGCTTTTTGTAATGTGAGAGTCGCTCCTTCCTGGTACTAGGTATGCTCCAAAACCCAAGGTGAATGTCTGAAAGTTCAGACAGGATCAAACAATAATATGTGCTGTGTTATTTCTACAAATGCATAAATTTAGTGCTTTTCTATCTTAATTAACATAGTTTAAGTTATGAATTAGGCTAGTAGGGATTAGCAGTAATAACATAATCAGACAAAAACAACTGTAACAATACTCTGTGATAAAGCTATTTTAAGACTAAAAATTATTGA